AAATGGACTTGGTTAGCTTGCATACCATCCGTTCACCATACTCCCACTGCTGCTCATAACCTGAAGGCATAAGCATGTAAACCTTCTCATCCAATTCACCATGGAGAAAAGCATTATTTATGTCCAATTGATGAAGGTGCCAGTTTTTAGTGGCTGCAACTGCCAAGAGGGTCTGAACGGTTACAAGCTTCGCAACTGGAGAAAAAGTCTCTTCATAATCCAACCTAGGTTGTTGGGTAAAACCCTTGGCTACCAGGCATGCTTTCTTTCTTTCCTCTGTTCCATCAGACTTCATTTTTACCTTGAAAACTCACTTACAAGCAACTGGGGTTTTATGAACAGGAAGTACAGTAATACCCCAAGTATTGTTGGAAACTAAGGCATTATATTCAACATCCATTGCTTCGATCCAATTAGGATACTAAGATGCTTCAGTGTAAGTTTCAGGCTAAAAAACAGTGGACAATGCCAAAGTATAATTTCTATGAGAAGGAGACAGCATATCATAACCCAAATAGTCTCCAATAGGATAGTGCTTACCAATGTCAGAGTCTTCCTTCATGGGTTCTGATTGAGGCAGTGGGACTTGAGAAATGAGACTACAGTGATAATCTTTAAGGTAAGAGGGTGCACATCTGGACCGAACAGATTTTCTATTAGGCAGAAGTGGAGGTGAAGAATGATCTGTAGATGAAGATTTGGCAGACTCCGGAGAAGCAGAAGTGGAAGAAGGACCTTGACTATCTGGATGAGTAGGTATATTGAGATTGGTGAAAGTAGAAGGTGAAGAGAACTCATCAATATGAGAATGAGAAAGTATGGGAAATAGAGCAGGATCAGGTGGACTGATATTGGGAGACTTGGATAAAGCATCAAGAAAGTTAGGGTGATGAAAGGGGAAGACATTTTCATAGAAGGTAACATCTCTAGAGACAAAAACAGCTCTGGTTTTGAGATTGAAGAGTTTGTGGGCTTTCATTCCAAATGGATAGCCTATGAAGATACAAGGAACAACTTTAGGATCTAATTTTGTTCTGTTTCTTTTTAGGGTAGATGCGTAACAAAGGCATCCAAAGACTTTAAGGGCTATAAGATGGTGTAGTATTAAACATCATCTCAAAAGGAGATCTGTTATCCAGTAATTTGGCAGGTATTTTGTTTATGATATATATAGCTATAAGGATACAATCTCCCAAAAAAAAATTAGGTGAATTGGCTTGGAACATAAGAGAACGAGCCACATTAAGCAGGTGTTGGTGTTTCCTTTCAACCACACCATTTTGATGTGGTGTCTCAACAGAGCTGAGCTGATGGATGATCCCTTTAGAGCGATATAATTCAGTCATTTGGAATGCCAAACCATTTTCAGATCTGATGGTTTTTATATTACACTGAAAATGAGTTTGAACGAGGTGATAAAAGGACTGAAGGACTTTAGTCTGAGATTTTTCCCTCATAAGATAAGTCCATGTCAACCTACTATAGTCATCAACTATAGTTAGAAAATATTTTGAGCCATCTAAGGAAGGGATAGAGAAGGGTCCCCAGATGTCACAATGAACAATCTCAAACATTTGCAAAGATTTAGTGTTGCTGGTAGGAAAGGATGATCTGTGTTGTTTGGCCAAAGGACAGACAGTGCAAAGCAAATCTTTATTGATTTCAATATGAGGAATAGACTTATGCAAAAGAGAAAGCTTGGAAATGGGCAAATGTCCTAAACGACAGTGCCAGATATCTATATCCATTTTGATATTAGTACTATCAATGGTATTACAAGCTGAAACATATTTATTACAACCAAAAGAAGAACTAGAATTAGAAACATCATCAAAGGCAACCGCATATTTTTTGAGACTAGTAGGATCAGTTTTGAGTTGATAACGCTGTGAAGATGGATTTGAGACTGAGGTTGTTGGAAATGATGTAGCCTATGCTCAAGCCTTCCTACCCCAATCATCCTCCATGTTGAAAGATCCGGTATAAAACAAGCATCATGTGAAAAAATTAGATAGGAATTATGCTCAAATGTTAATTTGCTAACTGATATCAGATTGAACTTAAATGATGGCACAATAAGCACATTGCTCAAGTGTAGAGTAGAAGACAACTTCACTTTGCCAATGTGAGTAACAACCATACTTTCACCATTAGGTAACCTCATAGAAGCACCAACAATGAC